GAATGTTCTCAACCTATAATGTGTATGCTAATCACTAGCTAAAATACAGTTTCTGATTCAGAATGGCCAAGATGGAGCCTGATATTCTGAATTTCGTAAATGCTTCCACTTGATTCCCAAAACTGATGGTGCTGGTCATTAAACAATAATTTAAATAGCAATGATGTATACCATGATTTTCAGTGGAGAGATGAAGAGATATGTACTATAATTTTCCCAAAAAGCTTTACTTGCCTTTAAATTCATGCACCTGTTTCCCTACAAAATCCAAATTTCTTGGCCAGGCATGGTGGCGCACGCCTGTAATCCCAGTGCCTCAAGAGGCTGAGGCAGGAGGATCATGAGTTCGAAGCCAACTTCAGCAATGGCAAGGCGCTAAGCAACTCAATGAGACCCTGTCTCTAAACAAAACACAAAATAAGGCTGGGGATGTGGCTCAGTGGCTGAGTGCCCCTGAATTCAATCCCTAGTGCCAAAAAAAAAAAAATCATCATCATCCAAATTTCTTACCTAGGCCAAGAGGCCCTATTAAATCTGGCCCTTGTCCATTTTTCCAACCTCTTATCTACTAACCATATTAGCCTCTTGATTCATTGACTTTTCCCACTTTCAAGGCCTCTGCACTTATTATTTTCTCTTAGATTATACTTTTCCTGGCTTCTCCTTTAGTTCCCTTTATATTATCCATTTAAGGTTTCAGATAGATTCAGTGCCATTCTCCTAGAAAAAGTTTACCTGGCCATCCTATATATTAAATAAATCTTCCATGTTACTGAGTACTATGTCACCTGTCCTTTCCTAGTACAAGTCAGCTTATAAAATTATCTTATGTATTGGTTTGCTTGCTATTTGCTTTTTCTCTGTAATAAGATCTTTAGGGACTGGGGTTGTGGCTCAGTGGTAGAGCACTTGCCTAGCATGTATAAGGTCCTGGGTTTTCAGTTCTTTTTTTAAGAGAGAGAATTTTAATATTTATTTATTTATTTATTTATTTTAGTTTTTGGCGGACATAACATCTTTGTTTGTATGTGGTGCTGAGGATCGAACCTGGGCCGCATGCATGCCAGGCGAGCGCGCTATCACTTGAGCCACATCCCCAGCCCTGGTTTTTCAGTTCTTCAGCACCACATAAAAATAAATAAAGTTATTGTGTCCATATACAATTAAAATAAAATATATGTTAAAAAATATAACCTCTTTAAGGGCAAGAACTTTGTCTTCTTCACCAATATATCTCTTGTACTTAGAATAATGCCTGAGTCATAGTAGATACTCCATTAATGTTTTGTTAAATGCAATTTAAATGATTCTGGATAAACCAACTTAGATTTTGATAGTAGTTCTCAGCTAAGCATGACATCATGGTGGTATTTACTGAGAGAGTTGAACTACTGTAATTGATAGGAGTATGTATGTGATTTAGAAACTTCCACTTCCTCCATGAAAAAAAAAAAAGAAAGAAAGAAAGTTGGGCAATACTGCTCTCAACTTTGGACAATAATCCATTACAGTAGAACTTTTCTTGTATTTTTATCCACCCACTACTTAGCTTTCCCTTTAGTGTGGAAAGCTTATTTTCTGGTTTAGTTTCATAAAAATATCCACAGCCATGCAAGTAATGTTTAAGTAAATGCCTTAGTAGAATTTTAGGATATAGTAATTACTCAAATTAGTAGTAGTATTCATTCAGTAGATGGTAATTGCAAAGTTGGAATCTGATCCAAGTATTCAACATGACATTCCTGCTCTTTTTATATAGTGAAAACAGTTTCATTTTTGATTACAGATAATCATAATGTTGAGCTTAACCTATTAAGAATGTATGTCTAGATACTGTTTGTTGTTAGTGATATAGTGTTTTCTTATAGTATTGGCCAAGATCTTACTCGACAAGCAAATAAGTTATAACACCACTACCTCCATTGCTTGTATTTTCCCTAAAGGTATCTTTTGATTACTTGCTAGCCTGACTTTGCTCGGGTTATAAAATCTGACAAAAATCAGAGTTTAGGTATCTGCTCCAGGCTAGCCACAAAAACATTTTTTTTATGTACTGTGTCTACTACTGCTGAAAAATTCTTATTGGTAGATTATTCCAGTCAGACTGAGAATTCTTTCTGAATAAAATAACTATGATGGCTTCATTTCTTGTCTTCAACCAAAGGGTTTCATTGTTTCAATCCCCCAAACTTCACCTGATACTATTACTTTTTGCTCTACTTTACCATTTTGCCTTCCACTTCATTAGTACCAAGTTTAGTCTCCATTTCCTCTTCTTACCCCTCTGTATTCCAGAGCTTGTGTTGTGGTCTTAGCAGAATGTCCCCATTGTAGATGAACACCAGGGGAACACAAACTGAAAGACAAAGCAAGCGGTCAGGGGAAGTGAGGAGGCAGAAAATGGAGAAGGAACTGGAACTGGGGTGAGGAAAAGGGAAATGTAGGTAAAAGAGTGAAGACAGAAAATCTTGGAGAACTATATTAAACATAGAGAAGTGACTAAATTAACACTTAAAAAAGAAGACTTTTTTTGAAGACACTTTTTTGGATTAGAACATAATCTAAGGTATAGAGTTCTTGGGCTTTTAGTTTTCTTTTTATAAAGAGTACAGGATATTTTTGGTCCCTTCCACCTCTAAAATTCTGATTCTATAAATGAGAGTTTGGGATTGGTTATAACACTGGATGATTCATGACTTGTTCTATTCTGTGCTTTTAGTAAATTCTTCTCTCACTCCAACTGGAAGCACAGACTTCTTTCACAGAACTTTTTCTTATTTTATTAATGTTTAAACTATATTTCTTAGAGTATTTGGTCCCAGTATGCTTCAGGCATCACTGGAGGAGGGGGAATTTAAGAAGATGAGACCAGTTACACAGAATTCCCTCTGCTTCTGTCCTCCCCTTTCTGTTTTATGTATCATGGTGGTTTATAAGATTATAAACATCTGCTGAATTTTAGTATAGTTTTATTGAAACAGTATAATAAGGTTAACCTAGCTTGGAAGCTTCTAAAGACCTCAGACCTCCTTTGCAAGCACAACAAAAATACGCCTCATATGATGAATAAAATCAAAAGCTAGCTCCCACACATGCTGAAGCCTTGGTTCTCAATGTTGCCCCTGAACTAGATGTGTGGCCATCACCTGGGGACTTGTTAGAAGTAAGAATGTTCTACATTAAAACTTCAGCATCAGAATCTGCATTTTAAAAAGAGTCCCAAGTGATTGACTGTACATTCAAACTCAAGATGCCTGATACCAGTCCAAGTATTACACAGCTTCCTGGGCTATTCATCCCAAATTGAAGGACACAAATTGGATTAGGTATCAGTCATCCTCATAAGTTTAATTTAATGTTAGGTGGTTTGGAGGAAAAAGGATACTTGAAGTTTATATCTCTTGTTTCTGCCAGAATCTTTCATCACAGTATACTCCAAGTTTGTACTATGGTCTTCTCTAAGATTTGGTTTATATAATAACATTTTCTCAGACTTCAATCTCACTTCTCCTTTCATTTCCCTCCCACACCACCATGTCCATGTTAAATCAGCTTCTGGGAAACAGAGATGAGTTGCTAAGTTTGTCTTAAGCTCTCTTTAACCACCACCTCCAATTTCTTATTCTTTTTGCTTTCTCTGTTTTCCTTCCATGTTTGTTTGAAATACTGGAACTCATTTTCAAAGAACCAAAAGTTTATATGAAGTAATTGACCATTAAGTGGTAACACTTTTCATGTTCAATATGTAGTTGTTTTGAAAAATACAAATTTTAGATTAACTAATTATTATTTAATTAACTAATAATTTCATTTGCCATTTGATATTTCCATTCTATTTGGTTCCTTATTTGAAGAATGAATAGGAAAGAACATGAGAACTTCAAATCACATATTTCTGTGGCTTTTTGTTTCAGTAAAAAAAAATTAATTAAAAATTATGTTCCAAAATGAAATTATATATTTTCTAATGGAACCTAAATTTATATACATTTGATTTTCAGATTTTATTTCAAGGGTGGGTATGTGTATAGAGAAGATAGTAAGTAAGGCTTACTTCATTTCCATTCTAAAAGCTTCATTATTTCTTTTATTAGTATATAGGTTATTAATACTTCCCTTATGTGATGGACAGACCTATGCTTTAGAGGCTGCTGTCATAGCTTGCAGATGCCTTCAGTGTAGTATGGAATGGTGGGCCTCACCACCCCAGTTCTCTGCACTGTATCTAGTCTTAAAAATCTATTTAACTATTTGGTATTCATCATTACAGAGATTTGCTTATCAAAAATCTGCCATTTTTCTTTGAGAAATTGTATATCATTGTTTGGTAGCTGGTGATATTTGCGTTTATCAAATTCTGGTATCCAATTCTTTAAAAATATTAATATATTTACACTTACTCAATTTTTCATATTAATCTTTACATACTTTCAATTCTAGTAAATTCAGAAATATTTAGATGTTTTGAATTTTTTTTATTTGATCGATATTATCTCTCTCATTTTACTAATCTTTTTATCAACAAGGTTGTGATACCTGCTCTTAAGTCTTAAAATCTCAGTCATCATATTTTCTTTAATCATTGGCTTAAGAATTACTTCTTACTTGTCGAATTGCAAATAAAAAATTATTTTTAATAACAGATTATTTGATAGATAGAATGTTCTTGTGTTGCTAGTGTTGCTTGCTTGCTTCCATATGTGTGTAAGGATTGAATATACTCCTTTCATCCCATGTAAATGTATACACTATACCGGGTTATATATGGTTGCATTGTGCAGTTTTGTTTCCAGAATCATCTTTTTTTTCTTTTTTCTGAGTGTGGTCATAGGAACTCTCTATGATGAACTGTTAGAGATTACAGTATAATTTGCTTAGTCCAAACCTATGTTTTCAGCCCTGTAATTCTGACAGTGGTGTGACTGGTTTTAAATTTACTTTCATCAGATTTCACTTTCTATAAATTTTACTTAACTAATGAGTCTGTTTTCCCTTTCTAGGTACGGTTTGTGAAGAATATAACTTCCTGGAAAGAGATGAAACCAGGGTTTTATCATGGACACATTTCTTATTTGGATTTTGCCAAGTAAGTTGTACCTAAAATGACAAACCAAAGAATGCTATGTACTCTAGCAACCTAAAAAGGAGTAAATTTATTAAATTGTTATGCGTATGATTCCCCCCCAAAAGGAATATACTCACAACTTTGCCACTTTAAGATTATAAATATTCCTTCTAGTGCTTTGCTGCCCTCTAGTGCTCATAAATTGGCAATTCTCGTGTTAATTATAGAAATTCAAGTTAAATTTAGGTAATGATCTTTAAAGTTATTTATCATCATTATTATTCTGTATATGTTTCTTGTCCAAAGAGAATGATGCTTTTCTAGAAGAGTTCAAGTTTTCACTTGATCAGATTATGACTTAGCACATCATTGAGAATTGTGAAAGCAAAGAAACTCACTTTGTTATTAATGTCCCAGAGTTTCTGCTTCTCATACTTTGCCTTGACTACCTTGTTTTAGCTTTAAAGTTATGAGAATTAGAAATACATTTTTTAAAAATAATGAGTTTCTTTTATTTTTGAATTTACATGTGATTGGAGACAAAGTCTCATATCCCGTATTTTTGGGAGGAATGAGGTCAGGGTTATTTCTATCATGATTCTTCTAAGAAAAGTTCAAAAACTTACAGGCCTACTTTCAGTATTAAAGCACTATGTGGCCTCCTCTAGAGTCTGTGCTACAATAAATACTAATCAGAAAATGGGTTAAAAGTTATGGTTTAAACATATGAGTCTCATGAATCCATTTCAACTTTTTATATAGTGTACATCGTGCCATTCTAGTAAGACCTCAAATTCAAATGTTTCCCCTAATACTACTTCTGCATTAACTTCAGAAACACCAATCCCCCAAACAATCTTTTTATTATTTAGTCCTAGACCTGTTCAGTTTTTTAATTTAGTAATCACAATTTAAAGGAATACACCTTTACCCATGATGGTGGACAGCATGAAGAAGGCAGCTGCAGGGGATGTCAGTATCACTTTGGAAGGTCAACAAAAGATAGATTTTCATGGAATACAAGTAGAATGACAGAGCTAAAGGAAGAAATAGAAGTAAACAAGAAACAGCTCCAAAATTTGAAAAATACTCATGATGACATCATGCTTGCAGATGAATAACTGCTTAATGATACCTTATCAAATTGGAGATGTTATCATTAGTTATTCTCTAGAAGAAATACAGAAAGTGTTAGAGGAAGCAAAGAAAAATTTGCAAGAAGAAATTGTCACCTTAGAATCCAGAATGGAATCAATTCAATGGGTGTTAGCAGATTTGAAAGTTCAGTTATAGGCAAAATTTGGCAGCAACCTAAACCTTGAAGCTTGTAAAAGTTAAATATTTTATAATAATTTTAAGACTCTACTTAATAAACTTGAATATTATTTTAAAAAATAAAGTAATACACTTTCATGTATTTGTCAGCTTTAAAAGACATTCTGTATAAAATTTAAAAGGAAAATGATATCTCACTCTCCTAAAATTTGAACAGAATGAAATATTACTGATTCAGATAAATAATAAGTCTTAACTTTCTTGAAAATTATATAATTTTAAAAAAGGACTTACCCAAATAGTACATGCATAAATGATATATTCCTGTTTCTAATTTCTTCCATAGTACTCAAGCTCTTTCAATAAAATGGTGACTTTAAAGTTAGATGTACATTTTTCTATAAATAATTCATACTGCAATATTGAAAACATTTTATAGGCAGCTTTAAAATAAACTAATTATTTTTTCTTTGCAGAGGCATTGAACCAATTTCATAAACTTCATTCATATGCATATTTTCCCTCAGGGCTGCATTATCCTTGAATTGAATGTTTGTTACCCTTTCACCTAAATGATTTATTTTTTCCACACACAGCTTGGTTTCTAATACTTCAGGTTTTCATTATTAAAATTATGTATTGAGTGCTTTTGCTTTGGGCAAAGTCTTGTACTCAGAACAAAACTCTGGTATATGCTGAGGTTCTTGTATTTGAAAAGTATAAAGCTTTTTGAAAGGAATAATCTTATTTATTAAATACTGACATGCATGTTTAAAAGTTTGAATATTTTAATAATGGTTCTGATGTTATAAAATACTGTGAAAAATTTTAATAGACTTTTGCAAAATTTGAAACATCTAAACAAAATCAACTGGGAGAAATGTATTTAATGTATTTTAATGGTAAAGAACTATTGTAGATGTAACTATATCTTTTTGATTATCTTTTAGCTCAATAGCCATGTACTCCATGAATGTATAAGGAAAAGGAAAGAAGCATCACTTCTAATTTTTTTTTTAATTTTTATTGTTGGTTGTTCAGAAACATTACATAGTTCTTGATATATCAAATACTTTATTCTTCAGGACATTTTTTTGACTGACATAGTACTTTGTGGAGTCCATTAAAATATTTGCTTTCGGATGAAAGTGATGAATTTGATGAAAGAAATACTTAATCATGTATTTTTCAGTTGCTTTATATACTGTTTGCAAGCTTATGTCTGTCTGCTCAAGCCGTAAGCCAGGTTTCTTTCCCCCCAGAACTTTAGGATAATAACAAATATATATTTTTTCACATTTTGCATTCCTATCCTGTCTTGCTTCCTTTTTATTTTAATCTTATTCTTTTTCAGCATATTTCCTAGTTCTTCCTTCCCATTTTTCCCTTAAGTGCTCCCTTTATTTTGTTTTTAGTAGTGGACAATTTAAAAATAATGTAGATATAATAAATTAATGCCATAAATTTAGATATTTTCTAGTTTAAAACTATATAGGTTGGACATTTTCAAAATGTCCTACACTGTAGAAAATATAGTTAAGTTACAATTCTTAATCCTAATGAGTCATTGAAAACCTCACTTTTTTTCTAGACTTACTAGTTCATAATATTTCAGTATAAACAGTGAAAATTTTAGATTTCCTTTCCCTTTTAAATTCATGCTATTTATTTATCAGTAGCATCTATTAAATTTGAGCCATTCTAATAAATATGTACTAAATGCCCTTTTTAAAATAAATAAATAACAAATACCAATAAATCATTCACTTTTTTTGAAAGAAGACAATGGGAACTTCCCATTAGAATTGAAAAGCTTCTGTGACCCTTTAGGGCTTAGAGAGTCCAGAATAAATATGAACAATACAAGGTATAAATGTCCCTGGTGAGATTGATGCATAAATAGAGATGTTAAATCTGGTGTGAAGCAGAAATCTGAAATCATAGTCCTTCCCAAAGGCTATTTAACCCTCTTACAGCTTCATCATCTCCCTTTCAGACGTGGCCAGTAGATAAGGTTCATTGCAAATGTTCTGAGTATGCACTCATTCTTTCTGCTGCTGTTCACTCTTCTAGCTATGCCATCTACAGAACATAGTTGTGAAAAAATGAACCTAGTTTTAGTTTCTCACTTTTAAATACCACATATGTTGACATAGCAAGAATGAGGTTCTTAAACCATCTTTTAACTAACCTGCTGATAAGATTGTGGGCTTTTTTTTTTTTTTTTGATAGCCAAATGCAGAATCTGCCAAATATACTCTTCTTTTCCTAAGCAGAACATTCTAACAGGCCAGTAGTGTGAAATAGTTTATTTTCCTTGGATAAAGATGTGTATATTATATATATATATATATATATTTTTTTTTCTTCCACCTGAGTCCTCCACAGTTCAAATTAATTGTCAGGATTAAAGATGAAAATTATGACTGGAGAACTTACTTTTTCCCATATGTAAACTACCTGCTTGGGAAAAGATTTAAAACAACAAACCATGTTAGCTTTGTTTCCCAACCAACTGAGCTGTGAACCCAGATTTTTTTTTCCAAATGCCATTTTTATTATGCCCACCTTGTGTTATATAATTCCTTGCCCACATCCCTTCATGCCTATATAACTATTTCATAACAAATAATTCTTATCCATTTTCAGAATGAGTTCACTGATGATCTCATTAAAATCATAATTCATACATTAAAAATGTTCCCACAAACACCATTTGCTAGACAGTAAGAAAAGTTTTGTGATGTGCTATATCCCCTTTTCACTGGTGCCTAGTAAGAACTGCTATCTACTCTACATGTCAGGGATAAGAAGAAAGGGGAAAAAGGAAGCATTTGTGTTCTAGGAAGAGGTAGTTCCCAAGGAATGGCTCAGAGTGGGGTAATGACTAGTAGAGAGTATAGAAGGAATTCCCAAGGAATTCCACAGTTTTAAGAATGAAATCATTATACAGTTATTCTGTATTCTTCCCTTCTTGTATCTTCCTACTAACTCCCAGCTCTGTCAGCTGAGGTAACAAGAATGTATTTCCAATGCCTCCCTACTCTCCTGACTACTGGGTACACTCTCCCACAGAAAGATTTTTATAAATGATACATTCTCTAACAATCTATTTGATCCATCTATATTAATCTTCAACCCCTGTGTGTTGAGTGTGGTGCTGAGCACTAGATAAAGCCATGAACAAGAGGAAAACAGACTCTGCCCTCATGGAACTACTAGTCTAATAACCTAATGTAACAGTGCTGCCTATCTGCAACAGTACTGTTTGCCTCTTTAAATATTTGAGAAATAAACTCTTACTGCATTATTCTCATTTTTAAATACCATGTATGTTGACATGGCAAGAATGAGGTTCTTTAACCAACCAGCTGATAAGATTATGGGCTTTTTTCTTCATCTCTTTTGATAGTCAAATGCAGAATTATTATTTATTATTGATAGTCTCTACCCTCAAGTGATTTCTAATGCCATTTGGGGAGAAAAGAGGAGCAGGAGAAACACTAGTAGGACAAGCTGAGTTAAATTTCCTGATGGCACTAGCTCCAGGAACCAGAGGTATCCAATGAAAGCAGATAGCATTAAGTGCTACAGTCATCAGGAAAAGAGGTCACAAGATTTTCTTATAACTCCTCTACTAAACTTCAACCTTTTAAAATAAGTCATATCAAGACATTTGTCTGCTGAAATCTTCCAGTGCCCTCCCCTGGCTCCATAAAAATTGTGCTTACAATGGTCTACAAGGT